CTGCTGAACGCACTCAAGTGTAGACTTCTCTATGGCAAAAGTTAGAAATATGCTGCGCTGAGCTTTATTCTGAAGTGCTGCAGCTACAGCAGAACTCTGAGCTAAATAACAGGTAAGCACAATAATTACCTGCTAAAAATATCCTTAGTCACAGTGACAGCTCACTAGAATTTGTTGAAAAAGATAATAGTCAAGAAACTCTATGAGTTCAAATATTACAAAGGCACTTATATTAGACCACAACAGAAATCCTCAGACCACTGGTTACCCTGGGAGTTAGCATAGTGCCTTTAGTCAAGTTTTTCACATTCAAACTACTTTAGATATAAAATTCTATACTTTTATTGTACACTATAAAATGAGAAATTAAGAGATCAAGATCAAAGATTTTTATTGTCAATTCACTATATGTGTAGGACATAAAGAAAATCGAAATAGTGTGTCTGTCTCACCTAGTGATCTTTTTAATGGAAAATTCACATTAAATGTATCCACTATCCTTGTTCTCCCATCAGGTTCAGTGCTACAGCTCAGTGTAGTTAAAAAAAGATGCCTTTATGGCTTTTGCATCTCTTCCCCTTCAGCTAATACACTGTACACTGACTGTGCATTGTGCTGGTCATTTTTGGTGCTCAGGAGTTTAAACAGAGCAAGCACTTGACCGAATTGCTTAAAGGAAGAGATACTGTATGCATGTGTTTCTATATGTTCAGTCAATAGCTGCAAACAGAGCTGTTACTGCACATACATCACATTTTGAATTAAAAATGAAAGAGATACACAATGTGTGGACATGCTAGATCACAAATGAGGAATAGGACAAATGGAGTAAAGTAACAAGATGTTCCAAAACACACACCAACCTGCTGTGCAAACTATTTTAAAACAGGCCAGTGTTTGCTGTCTAATAGAATATGGATGAGCAAGCTGGTGCAACCCAGCACATGAGCTGTATACTGGCCTCAGCTCAAATAATTTTCACAAGCGTGGATTGGGGAATACAATATATTGAACCCAGTTATGGGTGGTAAGATAAATGTTTCTAGCCAGGCATTAAATGTTTTCTCTTTTTGCTACAAAGTACTTGAAGTGCTGTTTTCTAAACCAATGCTTAATTTGTATACTACTGCTTTACTGCTTTCCACTAAAGTGTCTGCAGCACTTTAAATCTATTTATGTGTGGGTATGCAGTGAATTTATAGCCCAAAACACAGTTACATGTTGGTTTTTTTGTTATTGATGTTGCTTCAGGAACAATGACTTTAACACAGCATCTCCAACACTCAGCAACTCACTTTTCATTGCTTCATTTTAGAAAGCAAATCCAAACAAACATCTATAAAATATACCACGTAATATCTGTCTGGCCATTAAATCTAATTACACACAAGTCAGCCAAAGCACCAACATGTTCCCCATGGCTCAAATCAGTTAGGAATGATCCTCAGCTGGTCATAACACCAGTCTTTCACTATCTGGTCTGCTTTGTACAGAGAACTTTGTCAGTTTCATCTTCAGCTAATAGTCTCACTTTTGTTTGTGAATGTTTAGCAGATCAGGAGACTTTAATTTGACAAAAAATCAAAGCCCTGAAAAATAAATCTGGTAAATGGTCTTATAGCGCTTTTCAGCACACACAAAGCGCTTTCATGCTACTTGGCCATTCACACTCACACATCGGTGTTATCACTGGGAGCAACTGGGGGTTCAGTATCTGGCTCAAGGACACTTCGACATGTTGACTGGACAAGCCGGGAATTGAACGGCTAATTCTCCAGGAAACGACCCGCTCTACCTCCTGATCCACAGCCACCCAACTGCTCATCGGTTGATCAAAATCTTGTATTCCTATTACTGAACACCAGCTCAGTGTCACTGATACCTTTCCAAATGGACTAAAGTAAAGCAGAAACCCCAGTAATTTGACTGTATCACTGAGTCTTTCAGTGTCATCAACATTTGAATAACATATGTGTAGTTTCATTTCATTATCTATGGAGCAGGAATCCATTGGCGCTCCTGACAATTAGTCGATCCACACAGATCTTTGTGTCTGAGTCTGTCCTGCTCACTAAGCCCTGATAGGTGCAGCACCTTGACCATGACCCTACTGTAAATGGATTCAATTTAGAAATATATAAACTTATATTACTACTTCCCTGAAATAAATGTTACATTAATTGGGATTAACTGGCCACTCACAGACATTCACCCCTTGCCTCCCCATCAAATTTTCATCTGTTTTGCAACCTACTTTCCGCAGCTGATTTATTATTACCCCAGTTATAAAACAGCTCAGTCTGAAGAACCATTTCATTAGTCCTCTCCTGTGTTCCTTGGATATTCCCTCTCTGCCTCTTCACTCATTCATAAAGATGAAATTGGAGTTGCTTTATCCCTCTCTGGAGCCTGCTCCACTCCTGGCCTCTTCACGTCTCAGACCATCAGTAGTGTCAGTCTTCATTTTGCTCTCTGCCAGCGACTTGGTCTCCTTTCGTGATATCCCTGCTTGGCACGGCCTGTCTGCCCTTCCTCTCTCTGTTTCTCCATCTGTTCCTCTCCTCCTCACCTGAGTCATTCCTCTCTCTTTCCACTGCTTCCTCCACCTCCACATTTTATTCTGCTCCCCTGCCTTCTTCTGACCTTCTCTGTCCTTTCTCGTGTAGGCCTGCTCCAGTGTTTCCAACTGGGTTTCACTTGAATTAAAAACTGATTCCCCTATTTTGTTTTCTTTCAATTTTCCCTTTTCTCCCTGTTTAAAAGTGCTGAATCTAAAATCCAGCCCTCTGCTCTACTACAGGAAAGTTCTTCCCCACTCTCTTCTCTCTCCTAAATTGCCCTGATTCCTCTCTTTCCTCTCAAAGGATTTTGTAGCTCTTTTCAAAAAGAACACAGGCAAAAACTATTAATAAAACTATTTATCTTCTTTTTGAACTGCTGGCTTGACACCTCAACCTGACTCTCTTCCCAGCTGACAATCCTGGAAATATAACATATGGTGCACATGACAAATTTTGTCTTATGAGATTATTTAAAACTGCTAAGCCACCAGCCTTCCAGATGCAATCATCATTTACTGTATTAATTCATTTTTTAGAACCAATAGCAGATGAGACTGGGATTGGGATATGCAGTATCTCAAACATATCCTCAATGACCTCTCAAAAAACTCAAATCTAAAGCGACTGTTCTGGTAATTTCAAAAGGGGGGATATCCTGAAATCAAATTAATTTTATGGCACTGGGGTATTCTGCCTTTTTATAATGAAAAGAAAAGAAAAGATTACAAAGAAAACATACAAAATCTTGTAGACAAGTAGTGATGAAGCACTTTCAGTATTCAGTATTGGTTAACAAAAACATACAAAGATAAAAATAAGCAGTGTAATGCAAGTGGTAAGTGGGTATTTCTCCATCCAAACAGTACTCCTGAAAAGTAAAAATATCTTTTCACAGCTGAGGAATGATGCATGAACAAATCTTTAAATATCCACCTTAAGAACGCCTTCTCTGGCAGCCCTGATTATCCACTATAGCGATCATTTCCAGCAGTGCAGACACCTCAGACTCTGTGTGATGTCCTCTGAGTGTCACATGACAATCCTTCATTACTTACAAAAGGTTGATGATGTTAGAAATAGTGGGCCCTCTGATGCTGATTTTATTTTCTCACAGCTGTAAGTTCTACTGCCAAACTAGTGTAAAGCAAACAGGTATTTGACTAAAATATAAGTATAATACTAAAATTCTTTTCTACCAGCAACTTGACAAACTCTCTTAATAGGCCAGCATCTTCCATATGGCTTTGACATAGCATGAATTAACAGCAGCTTTGGGGTAATAATAAATCAGCTGCCTTGACATAGCATGAATTAACAGCAGCTTCTGCTGCACCCACTGTCTGAGATATTATTTGACATCTACTAAACAGAAGCACAGATATTTAATAAAACTTCAATACAGAAAAACCTGAGTGATTGTTAAATGTAAATGGTCAGACGTTTCAGATTTTACAGTATGTGCCCCTGTGCCAAGCAGGGTTAGAGGACAGGAGAGCAGAACAGAGAAAGCCAGTGCAGGTCAGAATGCAATGAACAGCAAGGCACATACTGCACTGTACAATAACTGTGCCTAATGATCTGACAGTCAGCTGGACTCGGCTCCTGTGCAGCAATAATGTGTGCAGCTCACAAAGACAATGAAGATGGACCCTTAGCTAACCACTGCACTCTCTCTATCCCTCACTGATATGCATGTCTGTCTCCACGGTCAGTAAAAACCATAATTAGGTGGGAGCCTAATCCTCTGTCATTCTGCACCAGACAGCAGAACAGCAGAAGATGCAGATGTTCCCACTGCAGGTAGACTTTCCTTAAAAATATGACATTTACAAAAACCTAGGCCTGCAGTCACATTTCTATGACAAGGGTGCAGTCATTTGATCTGGGCTAGAATGCAACCAAGCAATTATCTAATTACTGTTGTGAGTGAATAATACACACCTCTGCCTTGAACATATGTGTTGAAGCTGACTGATTTGTTTCTGCACAGCTGGACACTGTCTCATAGCATTAGCAGAAGAGGGAGGTGGACAGCAGTTATATGTACAAATAAGGGTTATAGTTTTGAGGCTGTCAGCAGAGTGAATGGCCTGTTAGGGTTTAGCATAAAAATGACACAGGACGCCTCCAAGAGGACAAAACTTTACACTACAACTCTCATATAAAACAAGAAGCCATGCAGATCCCTTTCTGTTGGTTGGTAATAATCAGACTGTCATCAAGAATGCCAGGACTGTGTCCTCTCTACATTTATGATGACACTGTACAGATGTTAGGCATGTCAGCATTCACACAGGGGTGTATTTGACTGAACCTACAGCTGTGCTGTATAGGCCTGTCTAAGAAAATGTCGATTCACTCACCACCTGGCACAGATTCACACACTTAAAGTGGAAAAACTGTGAATAAAGGGATCTAAACAGATGTTACCTGATGTGTCTAAGTGAACTTTTGTCCTAAAGGAACAAGCACTACTAGACCACCACTCGTCCCACAGTTCACTACCACTGATCTGTGGTTGTGTGCATGAAATGTCTAGATTAAGGTATGGTCCTGCACACTGGTTCAAAACATAATCTGTTTACTTATACAGCTTAATGGTTGTACACTTCAGGCAGTGTGCAAGATTCTTTCTTTATCATTTATGGTTAATATTTTCCACTATCTGTCCCACAAGATGAGTACAAAAGGGTTCATTGCATGCATGGAATTCTATGAAACCAATAAAAGTGAAATGGAAATAATTCTCTTTGGTTGGACTACTCAGTATGCAGAGAGCCAGTTTCATTGACCTCCAGTACACAGTCACATTAGCATTTAGTTTCAAGTTGGCATTTGGTCACAGGGTCAGTCATTACAGAAATAAGCAAATATAATCAGGATTCCCGTCCCTTGTATCATCCCAGCCAATATTTCTTCAAAGGTTAAAAAAATGTTAATGTCAGTAGTGCTCCAGGTATTTGATCATAAGACAAAGCACTGGCCAAATTTGGAAAAATTTGAAAAATTTGAGCTGTTGATGGCTCTGTATAAAGAGTTTGGGGATTCACCAAAGTCATTACATTTCATCCTAAGGGGGACATGAACCAAATTTAATGGCAGTCAATCCTATTGTTACCGTTGGACCAGTGGACAGCCTATGTGTATTACACACTGCCATCCCTGGAGCTGTGCTGCTACTGTAGCATGGTTTAACACTCTAAAGGGCTCCAGCATCTGTAAACTTGCTGTGCTGTGTCACACTTAAAGATACACTGCTGAAAACTGATTTCTTTATTTATGTTATGACCAAAGACAGCCCACTCTTTGAGTATTTATAACTTCCTAAAAGTAAGAAACCACCAAGTCAGATTTTATAGAGCATTGGATATTGTTCGGCTTTTAACCCCAAAATAAAGTTTATAGATGAATTATTCATTTTGAGGTTAAACACAACATAACCCTACACAACTTTCTTCTGACAACCCCCCTGGTGCTCAGTTATTCTTCTCCATTTGTTAACATACTTTTTCTATGTAACAACTTCACATTTTACACCCTGATGACATCACAGTGCTGTGCCCACCAGGGATTTCATTTTCAATTAGCAGCTCTCAGCACGATCATTCACACCCAGCAGTGCGTCGCCTACCTGACAATAAATCTGTTCTCAGCACAAGGTTGTTACTGGAGGACAGTGTAATATGTCAAATTGTCTTCCTATTGAAAATTGCATTTATTTAGCCACTAAGAACATTGTTTGCATAGTGTGCTTTTGGTTGTTGCTAACTTTAAGAGGAGTTAAAGAGTGGATGTCGCCTGCTATCTGCAGGAACAGGGGGGTTCATCAGTATCTAGAATGAGAGAATAGCACATTTTGGACATGGAAAGTTTAAATACAAGAAAAGGTTTGAATAATGTTCAGTATGGAAAGTTCAGGACAGGTGATACTGCACAGCGAGAAAAATGTAAACTAGTACCATTTTGGTCCAAGCAAACTCTCAGAGTGGAAACCAAAGAAATGCTGGGTGTGTTCCCTGCTTGCTTGGAGCTCACCCACATGTGGAATTTCTCATCTGTGTGTATTTTCACCATTTACTGGTTTGCTGGACAATGTTCCTACACACATCCTTCATTTGGTTGAACATGAACAATCCTTAAAGTAACACTGTCAACTGGTTCACTGTAGATACACTAGGGGTTGTTACCAATAGTGGAAAAAGTACTCAGACACTTTATTTAAATAAAAGTAGTAATGTTGTAGAAATACTTCATTACAAGTCCTGGATAAAAAGCTTACTTAGGCATAAAAATACAAACTTTTGATTAATGTACTTATAAAACTAGTGTAGTGTAAATTAAAAGTATTTATTATGAAGAACAGCCATTTTCTGAATGTTGTATTACTATCACACTATTATCATCATTATTATATTATTGTCCATACAATATAATATTTTTGCTGGTCGAGATGGAGCAAATTTTTGCTATACTGTAGATAAAGCCTTTTGGCAGTGGCTGCCCCTAAACTCTGGAATGATTTATCACTTGAAGTTAGAGATGCGACTAACTTGACATCATTTTGCACATTGTTGAAAACTTACTTTTTCTCACAGGCGTTTAATTCTGGTATAGTTTGAGGTATTTTTGTAACGGAGCTTTGTTATTTTTTCATGTGATGGTGTTTTTATTATTTTATACTATTTTACACTTTATATGCTATTTTTTGTTTGTTTTTTGTTTTTATATATTTATATTTTGTGCAGAACTTTGTAACAGCTTTGTTTAGAAAAGTGCTAGAAAAATAAAATTTTTAAATATTTTTCATTGTGAAATTCCAGTCAAATTACAGACAGGGGGCAGCATCACTTTATTTAATTTTTTGCTTTATTTGTTTCAATTTGGGCATGTTAATTCTTCTGTACTAAAAGACTACTTTTGATTTAATGTACCTACAAACAATATTACATGTTCCTTTGCTTTATTATTTGGTGTTGTTTTGAAATGAACTTGACTGAATATACAGAATTTACTGTATTTGAATAAAATCTTATGATGAAATCAGGAAGCAGTGACAGTGAAGTAGTTGGCGGCAATATACAGGTACAGATAGCGCATGAGTGGGCAGGAATGAGGAACCATATGTAGCCTACTACTGCTGCAACTAAACCACTTCCAGGTTGGTTGTTAAATGTCAGGTGAAATCACACAAAACATAGCTGACATAAACCTGTCCCAGCCTGTCCTAACACCTACATTTTCATGACCCATGGGCTCAGCCGATGACTTCACACATTGTCTCCTCTTCACAATGTTATCATATCTGATGTCATTGTTTTAAAACCTCACCAGGTCCTGACTTGTTCCTGTCTGACTGACATGGTTGGAATGCCTTGAAGGGAGTGTCTCTCCTCGAGTGTACAGCTGTAATTGCTGTGCTTACATTGTGTGCAAGGACAAGTGCTGGCTCCATTTGCCTGAGTTTACATTTTCAACTATTAGGAAAAAATTGTCCTTCTTCCGCTTTATAGTTTCTTGATATGAAACTCAACATAGAGGAGGGATTTACATTCCACAGCTGCTTGCTTCCTATTTCAGTTTCAGACACATCTGGGACACTTCAAACATAACCCATCTAAATTAAGGCAATAAACAATCTCCTACATTTGCAACACTGGTCTCTAATTACCATAATTTCTTCCTATGCGTCCTTAGAAGTCACTGTTCTCGGAGATTTTAATCTCTCCCTCCTTCCCTACTGATCTTGTTTTTTGTGGTAGAGCGAGAATTTGTTTCAGTCACCATACTAAACCCCAGTCGCATGCCTTTTTTCTTCCCATCCTTCTCCAAAGTAAGGAATTACAATTTGACTAAGGAAAAAGAGAAAGAGCAAAGGGGTGGGCCATAGAGTGAAATAAGAGGACTTGAAGGCGTATCTCTCACTTGCTCCCTCTTTCTGCTGAATGTGGTGAAGTCATATATTTCAGACGAGGGTGTTTGCCGTATTTATACTGGCTGTCCTGTGCAGTACAATCTGCACTGTGTTGTGAGGAAGCTCAAGAACGGGAACACAGCAGCACCAGCCCAAACCCACCGGTACTCACCTGAGAGCTACTACACAAAGTAAGTAAACACTTCTCTCTTGGCCTCATTTGTCACTCTCAGTTTTCTGGATTCTCGCGGTCACTCAAAAGACTTCTTTGTTACTGCGTGGAGCTTGTGACTAACTGTACAGGAAACATGAAAGGCGCAGTAGAATGTATCGTACACCCCACCCATGCTCTCTGGCTCCTTCCCCCTTTCTCATGTTTAATAAATGCTCAGTTAAAGTTTAGTCTTTTTTATGGATTAGATGACTTCTGGTCTGGGAATTCTTCTGTTGTGAAATCCTGTTTATTTATTTTATTTTTTATCTTCCTTTTTCCTTTTTTTGTGAGGCCTCATGGTTTCAGGCAATGCTAATAGGGCCAGTCTGACAAATCTCTCATCAGATATGTGTTATCAGAGCTGTTTTTAATATACTGAATGCTCTGAACACCAAACTGCTGGGTCAAGTGACAGTAAAATTCAACATGTGTCTATCACATGTGTTGTCACATTTATAGACCATGGTAAAACTGCATATGCAAACGAGTGCTTTGGACTGTGAGATAACTTCAAGTCTATGAAATCAGGTGATGTCTGGGCTTTTCTTTCTGTCTTCAGTGATAAGATCAAAAAAAGATCATTGAAATAAAAGTGTGGCTCAGCTGGGACTGTGCGGGTTAAAGGAAAACATAACCATGTCAGAAATAATCATGTGAACCAGTTTATCATTTTATTTCCTTTGTGTTCATGCCAAAAAGGCTTCAGAACAAGCTCTTAGCACTTTAACTGAACTAAATGAGCCACTACCCAAATCACAATGCGTGTTGGTGTGTTCACTTAGATAGCAACCATTGATGATGAAGTTTTACAATACAAGAAAGCTGTGAAACATTTTGTAACACATGGCTACAAGTTACTATTAAACAAAGGCTTATGAATTGGCATGGATGATGACAAATCTAACAGCAACTGGAGTTGCATCTGAGTGAGCCACTTAACCCTATATATGACACGTGGGAGCTGCTTTGTGAACAAAATAGAGGGATGGTAATGCAGAGGACTAATGGAAAAGTTATTAAGACTCCTGAGCTACTGAAGGTTTCAAAATAATAATTTAGTGAAAAAGTAAGTAAAGTCATTTGTATTATTATGCAGCAGGTTTTCAGCCAAATGTTGTTTGAATAATAATAGTAAAAATAAAAGGTGTGGTATTTATATAAGTAGTAGCCCACTGTAGCTGAGGCAGTTTAACTTGAGACAAATACTATCTACAGTAAACAGTGGGATTATTTATAATAAATTACAATGTATAAATATGTCCTGTAAGCTGCATAACTTATATATAAATGTAACAGCAGCTACACAGGTACTTTGCATTATACAAGTCAGAAAGCTAACTTGATGAGGTTTTGACCACTGAAGTACATAACAAAGGCTCATTCCCAAAATCCTCTCATTGCAACATATTTAAACACATTTTAGACACATTCAGTCAGTTGTGGCATTTTGAATCACAAGAGAAACAAATAAAATTCAGTATTACTTAGTTTGAAATATAATGATTTACAATAAAAATGTGTTCCTGTAGTTATCTCTTTGCCAGAACATGTACGAGCAATGCATCTGCTCGTTTATAAAGCACACAACTTTTATTGACATATTGGTTTTTTTGGGGGGTTGTAGCTGTAACTCTGTGATTACAAGATGCTCCCAGTAGCTAACTCAGAGATCTAAGTGCAGGTTAGATTAAGGGTTAATCTGAAAGAGGAGACTTCATTATTCTTAATTGTTCACTCCATGCCAAGATAAGTCATGACGTTTGCAGTGGCTTGATGTTCTCTGGGCATGTCAGGACATCACAGATGAAACTCCTCTGATTGAGAAATAGACTGTACAAGAGTTCAGATGTTTAGATATTTACTTCACCCTTATTCCCATAACGAGCTGTTTTTGGAAGAACTTAGCAGACGGGAAGCTGCTTCTCCTTCACGTGCCTAAATAACAACTCCAGTCTCACACAATGAACAGAACAGGGTGATTGATTGCAGCTAGGGCTCCAGTGTGGGGCAGTTAGACACAATGATGATTTGTCAAACTAGCAACACCTATTATATAAAACTGACAAACATCTGTGTTGCATGGAAAGTTATAGGTGTTTCTTTCTGTCCTTAAGGGACAAATGTACCTTATGCCACATATTCAGTCAGGCTTGCCTGCAAACCCCCCCCAAAATACCAAATTAATGCACTGGCACATGCAATCCCAGACTTTTACAATGCAAAATATGCATATAGTATATAAAGTATATCTTTTATTGTGTACATTTGTGTGCACATACTTGGGCAGGAAGTGATACAGGGTAAAAGCAGGAGGACTTTCCTATCACTTTTAATAATCTCTATATATTATCTGATTTCTTAGATATTCAGAAAAGTTACTGAAATGTGCAACTCAGTGGATCAGATCTACAGAAGCAATAACCGGAAAATGGTGGTTAACACACACTATCTCATACTTTCCTAAATTAACAGCCTTGATGGAGTTTCTAAAGGTCGTTTCCATAGTGAGCACTAGTATGTTTTTGTTTAGAGCCCGATAAACACATAGCTACCTTTGTCAGGGAGGGAGGAAGGAAATGAATGAGCAAACAGGATGCTGGGAGTGGGGTTGGTTCTGCTGAAGCTAACAGGAAACTGATACTGCATTAATAAATGACATAGGGTGACCATACAGAGAACAGTGGGGATTAGGATGTTTAGCATTTTCAATTTCTATGTACAAAATGTTAAATAATGACTCTGAAACAATCTGGATAATGAAAATTGTTACTCAGTATGAGGAAATGTGCACATTGTATCATTATGATTAATAAAGATGATTTTGCTGTACTGTGTAATAGACAGCAGACACATGCTCAGCTCTCTCCTAAGTCTAACTTTAAAGTAACAGTGTGACATTTTGGGAAATATGAGCGTTCTCTTTCTGGTGGAGAGTTTGATGAGAAGATTCATACTTTACCACTGTCATGCATGAATATTGAATATATCAGTAGCTGCTTAGCTTAGCTTAGCAGAAAGACTGGAAACAAAGGAAAACAGTTAGCCTGGTTGTGCAAAAGTAACAAAAATGCCTACCAGCATCTGTAAAGCTTACAAATTAACACATTATAGGTCATTTTCTTAATCCACATAAAAAATGAACTGTAAAAACAACAATTTTTATACTTTGGTTTTTGTATGAATTAAACAAGTGATATAACCAGTAGCTAGCTAGCCCCACAGGTGAATAATCATTTTTTCATAAAATATTAAACAATTCCTTTAATCAGCAGCACTATTTGCCTAATTTCAACACTTCCCCTGAAGACCAGCCAAAATTTGATTTGCTCACTGAAGGTTTGAAATGTCAGTTCTCACAAAAACAGATCTCATTTACACATGCACGCATCAGGAAGAGAGTGACTAAAATCCTATTTGTTTTGACTGCTGGCCAGAACTGCGGTATGAGCAGGCCATTGAGCTCAATGTGAATGTTGTTACATCTACTGAATGTCCATATTGAAAAAGACAGAATACGCTGCCAAGAAGTACAATTTGTTAAGCCACTTGCCTATCTAACTCAAACCTTCCCTCCCAGCAGGACTAGAATGGCAAACAAAGGTCCTTCCTATGGCCTGAGCCTTGAGGTTCAGAACAAGATTGACAAGAAATATCTCCCAGAAGTGGAGGAAAGGCTGGTGCAGTGGATCATTGCCCAGTGTGGCTCTGAAGTTGGCCAGCCTGAACCAGGCAAGATCGGCTTCCAAAAGTGGCTCAAGGATGGATGTGTGAGTGTTGGGTTTGAATATAAATAATATCTCTATATATCATTGGGACTCGCATTGTGTACAGTATATTTAGAAGGATTTGCTCTTTGTGTCTCCAGGTGCTGTGTGAATTCATCAACAGCCTGTATGGAGCCAACAAACCAATCAAGACTATTAAGCCCTCCACCATGGCCTTTAAGCAGATGGAGCAAATCTCTATGTTCCTCAAAGCTGCAGAAAACTATGGAGTCACCAAAACTGACATGTTCCAGACTGTAGACCTCTTTGAAGGCAAGGCTACCAGCAGAACTAATCTGTATTATAATATTACATTATTTTAGTCTTCTTTACAGTTAAGTACAGATGTATTGCAGTATATGTAAAGAAATGATGCTGTACTCTGTCACTGTCTCTGCCCTGTATTTGGTGAGGGCTTTTTTCATTTGAGGGTGTTGCATATCTATAGGCAAAGACATGGCTGCTGTCCAGACGACCATGTTGGCTCTGGGTAGTTTGGCAGTCACAAAGGAAGATGGGAATTACAGAGGAGACCCCAGCTGGTTCCATAAGTATGTAGGAGAATTTAATGCAAATTAGTCTGTCTGTGGGAAGTTGCCAAAACAAAGGAGGTTTCAGTGCTAAGGAGTGGCATTGTGGACTAAGAGTTGTGTGTTTGTATGTGTGCAGGAAGTCCCAAGAGAACAAGAGAGAATTCTCAGAGGAACAGATGAAGGAAGGCAAAAAAATCATCGGCCTGCAAATGGGCACAAATAAAGGAGCATCTCAAGCTGGTATGACAGGCTACGGACTACCAAGGCAGATCATCAACTGAAAGGCCTGTCAGCAAGGATGGTGAAACACTGAATCTTATTTTGGCCATTAGGAGAAGTGTGACATGACTGCTTTTAAGACTAAACTGGATGAAAACAGGGACCAATAAGACCATGTACACACAATTCATGTTGAGCAGACACACATAAAGACAGACCTTTAACAGTAAAACAACCAAAGAAAGCATTTTACATAGTACTTTTGTGCTCTGTTAGGCAGCCTTGTAAATAATACCTTCTCTTAGACCATTCCAGTTGTTTTCCATTCCAGCTGTTTTGCATGTTTTAACTCACTACCTTAAAATCAAATTGACTTCACATTACTGAAAGTCATAAGATATTAGATTTCTTACCTTCCAGACATACACTGGTTTCAATTTATTTGAGTATGCTATTGAATATGCTGCTCTTCATACAACATAGCTATCACTTCTTGGACATCAGGATGCAGAGGTGGGCCACTCAAGCCACACAACTTGACTTAAGCTGCAAATCTGAGGACCTGAGACTTGCTTATGACTTGCACATGTGTGACCTACACCCACCTCTGTCAGGATGTCTGTGAATGCACCACCAAGGAAAATTCTGGAAATTCAACAACAATGAATGACAAATTGTCAAAAGTGATAGCTTACCTCTCTCAAGTGAGTTTCAAGTCTCCGCAATTCATTGTGTACTGAAATGAACTGAAACAAATGGCTTATCTGGAAGATAGCACATGGAATGTTTAGTACATTTGAAGTTATTAGGTTATAACATGCAAATCTTTTTGTATAGTTGAGTCTATCCCAGTTTAGAGAGTCAATTGCATGGTTTAAAAAAGGTTTTAAGAAAAAAAACTTAAAATACATGTGTGTTTTGAATGCTCCACAACACAATCTACAGTCAGATACTCTCAGTTACCTACCGTAATCGATCTGATCTATATGCTAGACCCTCTTTTTGGAGTTTAATCCATCATATATATGGACAATTTTGAAATAAAGTTCAATTTAACAGTAAGGCGTCTCTTGTGTGATGATTAGATAAAAAGAACATTAGGCTTTATTGTTATCTACTGATAAAGCTATTGATCGTGCACTGCACTGTTCGGCTCTTGATAGGCTGGCATCAGGTAATTAGTGACAGACATTAACCACCGTGCACAGCAACCCATTATAGTCATGTCAAAGTTTCTGGAGGCAACTATAGAAAAGTTCCTAGCCTTGTTTGCTTTAAACCTGAGCTGTTCTGCACACAGAGATAAGCAGATGTGATAAAATCTGTGTGAAAAAAAGTATGGGTGGAAATAAAATGATGGGAGGGAATAATAATGGGTCAGGACAGAGCCCTGTCCTAGCTGCACCCAGTTGGATGAAGGAGAGAAACAGAGTAGAAATATGAAGGTTTTGTTAATACTGTGTTTTTGCTTGAGTACCGACCGGCATGAACTGCCTCAGAAAAGGCCAGAGTTGGTGAAGAATAAAAGAAAGAAGTGAGAATAAGAAAGTCATAGGTTTGGTGAGAGGAAGAGAAGTGGTACTTCTTTGTTAAAAGAAATGTCCAGATGGAGTCCGACACAGGAGATTAAGATGGCTGAGGTCAGACAAAGAAGAAGACATGGTAGAACGGAACTTAGGAAATCAGAGAGCACTCCCTAAACAGGAGTGATCACTGCAGAGAGAGGGCAAACAGAAAGACTTCCTTTTCCCTTTCCTTTTTACTCTTGGTCTGTCAACAGGAAGCTCTGTGTACTTTATGTAATGACACAACAATGTAGATTTGTGTAAATTCATGAGAAATGACTACAGATATAAATTAAGTGGAAACAATACAGTAAATATGCAGTTTTTTATTGGGTGATGTATGTTTTAATTCTTTCATGTTTAGCCATCTAATCTGCTATTTTCACAATAAAAGCATTAAAAACAAACATGCTTACATCTATATTAAATATTTCACATAGACTTTTATAACACTTTGTTCTGATGGGGTGAGATAAACTGTGAGATAAACAGCCTCAATATTAAAAGTTACTCTTCTGGTAATGAAGCTGCGGAACATTAATCAGCTCAGCTGTAGTTTAGATACAGTATAATTGCCAAAAAGTGTTACAGCTTGCAATATTAATATTTGAATAGCAATTTTTATTTCAGCACTAGCAGACTGGTGTGCATTGGCATAAGCGAGCTCTCTGAGTCTCAAACTACTAAACACATCTTCTCGAGTTCATGTCAAGGGTCAATTAACATAGTATGTACATGCACTTTTAAACTGGAACTCTGACTCCTTTTTCGTGTTTTTGTGAATGATATGAACAGAAACACGTGATGTGGCAGCAGTGGTTCCTTTACTGAAGCTGGTTTGTAACAAGGAGGACACTGCATCTGTATGGACAAATCCAAGGGGAAAAAACTACATTTCCCATCTTTTTATAGACCCTGACAGTTTTGAGGACTGAGGTTGGGTATCTATGTAAATGATTCTAGTGTAATGAAAGTGTGGAAACAGCAACACATCATGGCCTCATCGCAGTGGAATGTACTTTGCTGCCATACAGGGGTATAACAGTACCGACAATATCCTTGAGGTTAACATTGCCTTATGACTGGAGGGATGCCAGTTTAAATCCTTAGACTGTCTGGGAGAATGTGAATGGGCTGATGTAATACCTTCTCCTTCAGCTACCACTGTGTTGGTGAGTAAGGTAAGGAGAGGAGCCTTCATTGCTCAAGTGGCCGAAGTAGAGGGCTGATTCTTCTAACACCTAGAGGTAATTTGACGGTTATTTCAAAAGTCAGGAACCATATACATTTGTAAGCTGTCAAAATGTGTTTGCAGGAAGACTACAAGTCAAAAACAAACACTTGGAAACACTGGTAAGGCCCAAATTTGAACCAAAATAACCTGCTCCAGACCTTGAGACTCAAGTAAGTGAAACAACCTTCCAATCTGATTATCTGGCTGGAACTAATACGGTTTAGTGAAGTCAGTAAGTGAGAACAGCGAGCGACGCAGTGGAAAAAGTGGTCACACTGCAGAGACTTGAATCCCGGGCAGTGGAACCTCTCTTGACCATAATGAACATAACTGGCGGTGTTGGTGAGTGGGAAGCCAGTGAGGGATTATGCCAAAGTCACAGCACTAGTAATTCCTGGCTGGTCTAGCTTCACTGTCTCATACATATCCCAGGCACAAAGTGTAAAATGTTCAGTAGAGTAACTTTCCTAGTTGATGAAACAATCTCACTACAAGGTCCATTAGCAGCAAACATTACTTTTTTTAACCCAACATGGATGAGAGGTCCTTAAAGTGCAAATACCATTTGCTGTAGAAACCCCAGCTATTAATTGTTCTCACTGTGAAATTGGTTTGTCAAGTGACATATTTTGTTTAAAGATTCATTTTGGTCCAGTGGGAACAAAATGGACATAAGATAAAAGTTATCTTAATATCCTCGCACAAACCTTTAAACACCAAAAGGTACTGTGCTGCTCAGTTTTTCTCTAAGAGTTCAACTGATTTCTTCAGTGGCCTAAACAAAAGCCCTGGATTTAGGTGCTTTTCCTTGGTTTATACATTATCCCAAGAGCTGATCAACTGCAGTATTACATTTCTACTGGTTTAAATGTTACACTTCTCAGTGCAAAGTTTTATTTTTTTATGTATATTTTTGCAGTGCATATCTTTTCTTACAATATACCTGTATATCTTACCATAGATAAGAGGCAACTCGCACTTTAATTTGCAGCCATGTTTGTTTTGTACACAATGTTGGTAAAAAGTGTCAGGCCTGGAGTTACCAGTGACAACACCCTTTTCAGAAGTTGCAGTGCCAGTGAATAAATTGCACAAAATGAGGAGGACAAGTGAGCGGATTTATGCAATCCAAGAACAACACAGGTTTGTAATTATTTAAATCCTGCAGAGAAAAACAGGCTAGTAGAGAGAGTGATTGTTTGTATGCCTAGAACAGCTCAAAAGGCTGCTTTTATTGTTTAGTACAGTACTTACATGCAAAGTCCTTAATGATCAAGCTCCATTGTATTTTAAAGATCTCATAGTATTATCCCAGATGAACACTTTGTTCTCAGAATGCAGGTCTGCCTGTGGTTCATAGAGTTTACAAAAGTGACAGAGTATCCTGTAGAACCAGCTCCCAGAATGGCTCTAGTGACCCTGAACCATCCCTTAGTTAAGCTGCTATAGGTCAACACTGCAGGGGGACCTGATGCACTGAGCACCTCTCCTCTCTTCTTCACTCCCCATGGATTTAATGCCACTAGTGCACGTCATTAACTTTGTCTTCTCTCTCACATATCCTGTGCTTTCTCCTTTCTGTCATCTCTCCCTGTACTCTACTTTTCTGCAGGTATCCTCTGGAGGTCTGTGTTTTTGTTGAGCAGTCACCAGCCCCGGTGTTTTGTTTGTTCATTGTTTCTTGATGGTCTCCTTTTCTCTCTCTGATCTCCACTCACCCAAACTGAGTCTGGTCCTATCAGAGGTTTCTTATGTTAAAGGAAGGTTTTTCCTTCCCACTGTTGCCAAGTGCTTGCTCAAGGAGAATTTGTTGAGTTTTTCTCTATAATACTGTAATGTTTTGACCTCATTATGTAAAGTCCCTTGAGATGATTTTCATTTTTGTGTGTGTGCAGCAGAGTAATATCAGTTCAAGGTCATTAAGTGACGTCACAAAAGACCGCAGTCATGAAATAATAGCTCTGGTTGAAAGAGATATGAAGAGGACAGCATGACCTGAGAGCTGCTGAATTAACTTTGCGACCAAGACAGTTATCGAGAAGTGCAGCACAGAAATCAATGGGTATAAATGAATTTGGGCAACCTGGTCATGGATAGAAAGGCCCTCTTTAGCGGGTATAAATGGTCATGGATAGAAAGGCCCTCTTTAGTTCTTCTGGACTGTCTAAGTATGGCAGAGATGGTGTTACCAAAGCATTAAAACAGATAATACAGCACTTTTTGCAGCTCCAGCACTAAATTATAACTCAGATTAGTTGCATGTTTTAAAGTTCATCTACCAGAGAGGTGTAACTTCCTTATGAGTTTTTCACTGTAGAACTGTGGTTTTCCAAATGAAGACAAATGAAAGATCTGCAGCAAGACACCATGGATGTCACCTGAGAACAAAAACATTGCCTCGAGACTAAGGTTAACATGAAGACTGAATGCATGTGTGAATGGCTCATGGGCATAAATAAAGTTGATCAGGAACCACAGAAGAAGGTGCTATAGTATTACTGTGTGTGGCATTAGCTCTTCATGTGTTTGCACTGAATGATAAGAGGGTGAATAACTAAGGTCACAGGAGTATCAGGTGCAAATGGTGGGTAATATGAGAGGAAGCAGGTGTTCCTCCTACAAACTCTCGGTTTGAGGCCAAACATTAAGATCTGAAAGATGAACCACAGAGTCAGATGCCAAGATAGGAAGCCAAATTGAAAGCTCAGAATGTGTAGTTAACGTCCATTTCTATCCTCGAAGTTTACCTTGAAGAAATGCTGCCTCAGTTAAACTCTCTAACAGACTGGATCTGCACTTTAGCACTGACTTAAACAAACCAACACAACAGTCTTGCACCTCATCATCTCACTAGCTGCTGCAGTAACTGTAAAGTAGCTGTAAAGTGCCTTTTGCAGAGGATGGGGAGTTCCTCAAAGAAAAAAAGTCTTGACGTGAGTGCCTGAGAATGTGCCTAACACTGTGATTTTCTATTTAAACATTCACCTTTGTACCATTAATAATATAATAGTGTAAGTGAGACTGCTTCGCTCCATCACATACTCTATATATCAAAACAAAAATCAAACAAAAAAACATGAGACCAGCAAAATCTCTACAACCTCCCAAGTACCTTCCTGCATTAGACTGAGCTCATGAGGACCCTCACCTGGCTGAAGCGGGTTACTACCACAGGAAAAAGCACAGTTCAAACACTATAACACTCCACAATGTCTTGATGACAGCAGACAGACTCCAGATGTACAATCAATACTTGCTCTGCTGATAAGCATTACTAAAACCCAGTCACCAAAAACCTTCTTACGGGGTTTTCTGAGCTTCCTAAACTTCTGCTTTTACAATGACAACAACTTCGCCCTGGAAATTATATACTCTGCTTATGAAGTTACAAAGATATTTTGTAACCTTTGACCAACAAATACAAAATCACCGGGGTCACAGAAAATGGAGCCAGCACAAATATGCACTTAAAACAATAACATCTGAGAGCAGTCATACCAAAATATTATTTGTATTGCATGGTGATCAAAGAAACTGATCCCCATGAGTAAATTTTGACTTATTAAATCAGGAAACGAAAATACTTATTTCCAAGGGAGTGCATTTAATTTCTGGAAATATTCTGGGAGCACTTGGACATTTCATTCATAAGCCTGCCTTGAAGAGATACTGTAGCTTGGCACACCACAGACCTCCTGCTCCAGCAGACCTGTGATTTCAATTGTTCAGAATGTGGGCACTGTTGCTAAACATTTTCCACTCTGGGCCAAGTGCTTAATAAATTATGTCATTGCTGAAGTTTTAAATAAATAGGTATTTTAGTATAGAACCAGTTTCCCTGCTAAGTCCCTGTGCTGTGTTATTAGCCAACCTCAAGATGCTACAGTGGTACACTGCTCAGCTGGTTTACACTGAACCACAGCCACATTTTAATCAAGTCAACAGAGCAGAATCAACACACAAGGCTTTAATCAGGGTGTAGCTTACTGGCTAGTGAGGCCTCCACCTCTGTTAATACCTGTTGGGATTAGATCATTATCATTTCCCATTTTCACACAGTGTGTTGACAGAAGGAGCGGTCAAATATTTACAGTCAGCACAGCTACTCTGAAAATTTACAAAAACATTAAGTGGATATTTAAATGTCGCCTTCTGTGGACACAGTGTCTGTATGCTTATTTTCATGTCATTGCTTTCTGTGTCAGGAACTCATAAGGTGAGTCAAGCATACAGAACTTTTACTGTATGTTGTTTAGTATAGGCTGAGCTGAATGTGCTAAAGTGCTTCACGGTCTGCTGCGTGGGCCTCAAGATGGAACAACTATTTTATCTACACCACAACAGTTTTGGGTCACAGCTAAAATCAATAAGAGCAACATCAAAAGTGAGCAAATGGTTTACTAACTACATATTTTACAACTTACGCTGCAGCATGCCTTATGACAATTTAGCCTGCGTTTACATCACCTCGGAGTGCTGTTGGTCAAGTATTACATCAGAAACATAAAATGTCCAAAGCAAATTATTTTGGCAATAGGAAACTAGTGGAACAAGCAGCAAGCCTTGCTAGTGTCTTTAATGTTTAGTTCTCTGATGACATGGTTCCCCCATTGGTTCCCCCATTGGTAAATGTGAAACACTAACACACACTGCTACAGTTTATATCCAAACCCTGTGACTGAGAATTATGCGTCTTTATTTCTTAGGCCTACTTTCAAATACGATCACAGAAAAAGACCACTCAAACACAGGATTAGATCCTTGTTTTGTTTGTTTCAGTAATGTGACAAGCCAAAACAGTACAAATATTGTATCGCACCAAACAGCCTCCAACCACCTGACCCTCCTGCAAACATCATTATCTCAAGCTTCACGTCTTATTTACAACTGGGGCCATTTCTAGACACTGTAGAAACACAGCCATCCCCATGAACACTTAAGGCACACATAAGCATACACTATTTATATTTAGCAATAACATCACATAATTTGATGCCTGACAGAAAACTTTCAGCCAGTCGTAGCACAATAGAAGCCAAAAAGAAACTGCTACAGTGCAAGTGCACACATGAATGGTTGTCTTGACATGAGGTGTGATTGCTTTTTAGCATTTAGCACGATAATATTCAATAGCTATATGGCTATATAGCATATGTAGCAGCTTAACCATGTGGCTACTTAAAGGTATTCAATAACTACTGTGTAGAAGTGCCAGGTCCTGGGGTCAATGCCAAATACAACAGCAGAAACAAAGAGGTGAGAAGAGAAACCATATGTACTTTAGAGTAAAATTCTGTATATACATGTACAGTCCAGTATCTGTAAATAATTTGTGTTACAATTAGTATGTAAAATGAAGGCAGGAAGACTGGAACTAATGTGATGACCGTTTTTTTGCTCTCAACTGTTCTTTACATTGTTGTAAAAAGTAAAATCAAGTGCAATGTTGCACTACAGTGCTACCGCACAACCAACCACTGGAATATCACGGCCTGAAATGAGGCACTAAAATATTTTTTCTAGTCAAAAATGCCCTTTAACAGGTACTATAGACACTGTCCAAAAGTCATTAGGGACAGATTGTTACATTTCTATACATTTAAAATGAAAAGTCACACTAAATCTATTGGTGAATGGTGAAATTATACAAATAAAAAATTAAACATCTTCTGGATGTCACAGGAACACTGAATGTAAGCAGTAGGGTTGGGGGTGTTTAGAAGACTTCTTGAGATAAGAAGAAATTAGATTCGATTAATTACATTAAACAGCGTAACATCACTAATGAGCATGTATGAATGCTTCACTTTGATATTCAATCAATTAATGCAGAAACGCTGGCTCACGTTGCAAAGCTGAGGCTCACCTTAAAACAAGCAGGCAGCGAACACAGCGCCAGGTTTTGGTTGTTTCAGGTGACGCAGGAATGAAGTAGTGATCTAGTGTGGCCCCTCCACATATCCACTGTTTATTATATTTTACTGATGGACAATTAGTAAATATGCCTACATACTTACACTGTGCTCACAAAAAATTAACATTTAGTAGACTGTGTGTTCCTTACCTGGCTGAGTATATGAGTACACATAAAGAACTGGACTGACAAAACTACCACAGTAAAATTTTTTAAATGCCGTTTGCTTCGCAGGATCGCACATTAAGCAAAATCATCATATTTTATAATACTGCTCAGTGTATTACATAGTGTGCATCGTGGCCCCTCTGTAGCAGCAGTTCCCAACCTTTTTGACTTGTGGATGCTCAAAAGGAAGCAAGGAGTGATCTTCACTTTTTGGATTGTTAGGATTTCTAGCAGCCTGAAGAGATTTGAGCATCCAATGTTTCATGAGGAAAAAAGAAAAAAAAAGAGAAACATCAGGAAAAAAGACACATTGTTTTGTGTAATAAAAATATTCTTCCTTAAAATATATTGCGACTCCCTCTGATATTTCTTTGCACCCCCTTGGGGACCCTGACCCCCAGGTTGGGAACCACTGCTCTGTAGCATCCCAGTCACAATCCAAACATTGTACAATGCTGGATAACAATCTGCCTTCTGTATGCTGTGTACTGTACAGAGAGAATGCAAAGTTAACAGTTTTGTAGACATCAAACAAAAAAAATGAAGACAAAATTACATTGTGATTTCCTGTTTTGTATCATGTCTCCGTGGCAACAATGACATAAGGAAACGCTCATTTCACCCACAGGCCAAAATTAATCTGTGCGTGTGTGTGTATGTGCCACTGAAGTCACACATGATGTCAATATACCCCATCTGCCAATGATTCAGAGCAGTCTGACCGCTGTTGGTCCTTTAGCAATAGAGCTTACTACTACACTCACAGTGTCTATGTCGGTAGAGAGGCCTCTGTCCTTCAGCACTTCTCCACACACGAATGTGATCCCACACCCCTCATGTGCCCACTCCCATCAGGGTACCTTCCTCTTTCAGATACCAGAGACATGTCTCCCCCCCAGCTCCCACAGCAGTGGGTGAGACATGCCTCAGGATAAACGTGCTGTTTGCCCACAGCCCTCAAACCAGTGCCGCCCGTCTCTCCTCCGGCGTCTCCTCCAGTATCTGAAGCAGCAGGTCACTGAGGGGTTTGGCCACAGTACGGTACCCTGTCTGCGTCAGGTGAAGGAAGTCAAACATATCCCGTGGGATGATGGTCCCATCAGAGTGGATGAACTCTCCACTAACATCCAGGAACTGAACCTGGCCCAATCGCGGCAGCCAGGAGCGCAGGAACTCGTTAATGGCAGTGTTCTTCTCTCTCAGGGGGTTGGGACGCTCCCCTCGAGGCAACAGACCCTGAGGACCACAAAAATAGATCTGATTCCCTTATGAAGGTCAAGGTGTTGAGAGGTAATCCTTGATATTTTGAATTTTAGTTGCAGGTAAAAGAGCCTAAAATTGCTTCTCTAAAACTGGCCTATTATCAGTTTGTTTCACCCTGTAGTCTAAATGTCCTAGTTGGAAGGAAAGCCACCTGCTTGTTCATTTAACTAGAACCTGCATTTACCTTAAAGGGGAGGGGAAAAAAGAACCTGAAAGAATTTTGTTCTGTCTTGTATTTTTATGGAACCTTGTTTTCTCAGTGCGACAACTGTAGAAGGAAACTGACCACAAAGTGAGCTAAATGCCAGCCTGAGGCTGCAAAAGACAAGGCATACACCTGAACTTACCAGTACAACTATCTTTGCCTTGGGGAGGCGGGAGGTAAGCAGTTGTGCAATAGCAAGTATTCCTCCTGCAACCTGCTCTGCTGTGTGTTGGTGATTGTTAGTTCCCACCCACAAGACCACCACCTGGAAAAGACCACAGACATGTTCACTTTCACTGAGCACAAACGTGCACCATCAGGGCACCTCCTCCAGCTACATTAAACAAGATAAGGTAGTCAGGGACAGCTACATGCATGTTTTAAAGCAACAATACATGACTTGACAGTTTGTCTCTCCCTGCAGTTGCCAAGTGTAATTGAGTTGTACTCAGCTGTTGTAAATACTAGCTGAGCTTTTACTACTTCTCATTGACAGCAGTACATGTGCATTTGTTTATAAGACAAAGCTGGTACTGAACTGTGAAAGACAACAAAAGAATAATAAAGTAATATTACAGGATTTTATAGAAATATGGCTCCACATAGTTTTATTTATTGAGCCATCGAAGACGAACACAACAAAAAGAGCTTCCGCTGGTAACAATCAAACGTGATGGCCCGCCACGGTAACATCTTTGCTGCACATGAAGCAGGCACACATGAAAACTACTGTTGTCAAGTACATTTCTGCTATCAGTTGGCCTTTTTAAGACCGTTTGTCCATCCGCTGTCCTTGCAGCTCATCAGGAGCTGAAGACTGACAGCTGGAACACAGCTTAAGGATGGAAGAGCTCAGAGAGGGACTGATGAGGTTTTAGAAGAGAATACTAATTCTTATCAACCCACCATCATAAATTACACATTCAAAAGTTTGTTTTGCACCAGAGATGTAAAAGTGTGCATATGAGAGGTAAATGAAACTTTTTTTCCCCCTAAACAATGTTTTTCTTAAGGTTGGGGCAGGCATGTCACACCCTAGGATGAATGTTCTCCAGTTCTCCATTCTGCAGCCTCCACAGCACATTACAGGTGGTGTCCCCTCCAATGCCAAAGTTGAGCGCATGAAGAGGAGAGAAAAACTCTTTCCAGACCTGTGGACAAAAATCCAGAAATTTGCAGTATTTATTAATTTTGTGACTAACGCCAATAAAATAAAGCATGCCGATCAGTAACAAGATGTAAGACTACATTCAGGTAGTGAGGTAAATAAACACAAGTACAGCACACCACATTAATGCTGTGGAACTACAGCATTCTGTGACAACATTTAGTAAAAACTAAAATAAAATGTAACTGCCATGTGTAAATAGCTTGCCTCACCTCATACTGGCGCATTAGTTGTACCATAGAGTCCCCAACAAAAAGCACATCTGGTTCAGCATCCTTACACTCCTGCACAAATCTTGTGTGCTATAAAAAAACACAAACCTGTCATAACACAGCTTCTGATATAGCTAATAATTGTGAGAGATAAATGAAAAAGAAATTTCATTCACAGAAAACAATACAATTAGCTCAATATTAGACCTCTCCATATGAGTGAACACCTTTGTGTTTTGAGTTGTCTAGATATTAGCCTTCAAAATCAGACAAAATCCTGCAAGCTCATCAAAGTCGAGCCTCATTTGGTGCCGCATCTGACAGAGAGCTTGGAATAAAACAGACCGTCTCTATCCTTTTAGCTTCGGAGGACTAAACTTAGGTCGACCTACCAGTAGGTGCCACCAAACAAGCTAAGTAGCGCTGTAAAAGAAATACAAATGTTGCAAATAGTCACACTAATGGAATTATCACAACTAATCCAACGATGAATGTATTGCCTAATTACTTCCTTGTGTAGTCAATTTGTGGGGGAACAAAAATAACTTAAGAATAGAAATGAATAAAAACAAACTGAAACTAATGGAGTGATAACATACGACTACATATGCAACACTAGTATGTGTGTGTGTGTGTGTGTGTATATATATATGACATAACCCTTGTTTGCTAGGTGTGTAATTGGAGTGGGAAGAGTCAGACAGTGGGCAGACAGTGGGATCTTGTCCTCTCGTCCTGGTAAATCATGCAAAATTAATAGGACAGCAACCACAACCTGTCTGCTTAAAGGTGAAAGACCACTAAATCAATCCATCTGAGGATTAAAATATTCTCCACAGAGAATTAAAACATGCATTTCCCTACTGACAAGTTTTAGTTCACGTGTCTTGTCAAGTCATGGTTAATGCCACGAATAAGCATAGAGACACCGATGAATAAGATCTTTTGAGAAATATGTTAAATTTTCAGGATGTAAAATGACACAAGGGGATTTCGAGTTTAATAATCAACACCACCAACCAGTGAGATCCATCGTCCATCTCCTTGTACATCCTCCACCGGCTGAGCCACTGCAGCTGGGTTCAGTTCTTCACCACTCATCCTAGAGGAGACACCATTGCTTCACTGATACAAAACAAGTCATAGATATTGCTGTCATAACGTTTTATAAGGATGGGTTCGTGTTGTTTCGGGCTTATTTCTGGTTTGTTCTGGACGTAGGCTATTGTCGCTTTCAATGCAGCTGATTATGGCTCACAGAGCAGATCCCATTAAAATTCGCAGGATTAGTTAGCGACTATTTGACGTTAGCTCCTTAGCTAGCTCGCTAGCCAGCTAATGACCGTAGTGTTATGGCTGCATCTCTAAAATTTCACATTTAAGACGACCGTAGCATGAAATACCGTATTCTTCATTTGCAAGAAAAGCTACCTGGACGTTAGCTCTCTACTCCCCCGGATTCTGTGTGTTTTGCCCCAACTTTACTTCACTGTTGTCGTGTATTCGACGCTCGATAGCAATCGTTAGCGGATTGTGATTAGAACACACAAAAGGTGACTCCAGAAGAAACTACACATTCTCTTTCCTGGGGACAGCGCCGAAATGCTAATGGCGTTGCAGGACACTGCAGTGCGCCAGAGCTGTAGAATAGTTTACCCTGAGATGTGTCTGTCAGGCATCTTCCCGTATATCTCTTATCACGTTCTCCTAGGGCTTCATTCCTGAGAGGCCAATCACAGGGCAAGCAACACCCTAAACCACTTAGTCCCGCATTGAATCATGGGTGGGTCGTTTCATTTTGGATTCTCAAACAGCAACCTTTTTTTTTTAGTTATTTCACATTAATTAAGTGTCTTTCACACGCCGGGCTATGGCTATGGTATTTTATCTCCATACGGAAGTATCATTTTGTTTAGACATCTTTGCCGTATGACCGCAGAGATAGGGTAAACTGATGTTTTTTTTTTTTTTTTTTTTTTTTTTTTTTTTTTAAGAAATTAAGCAAAAATGTAGAACAGTACAGAGTTTCACATTACAAATCGTTGCAATAGATGTATAACAGCGGATTTAGAGTATAATATGACAAAATTAGGCATATAAAAAGGAGGTGAAAAAGAACAATAACATCAAATAAGTGAGAACAAAGAAAAGAAAATGCAAGGAGGTAAAGCTATTCAGATATAAAATTAAAATGTTTAAGCAGGTCAATGGTTTTGGTTCGTTTCTTGTTGGGGTGGGGTGAACTGATGTATCACTCCCACTTCCTTCCATGTCTGATCCCAGCTCGCTGTCAGCTGACCACAATACATCATGGTGACGATGGACCAGATGTTGCATTCTCGTGCTGTGGGAATCATGAAATATCACGTCTCTGTTTTATGTGTTATAGGGAAATTAAATTAAAAATAACAAATTTTCATTAAGTCGTTTCATATCATCATCCTTAAATTACAAGTCACCAATACCTTACTTATCAGTAGGTCTTTTAAAATAATATACACGGATTGAAATAAACTCCTAATAACACAGCTACATATTAATTCAGTTGTGTATGCAGATATGAATCATGGTCAAGTTAAAAGTGTCTTTACGTATAGTATTATTGTGCCATTCAGACGGATGTATTATGCACTGACTACAAACGCATTCAGACTCTGCAAGGAAAAACATTTACCAGCATTTGTACGTACAGACGTTATGATTCTTCCAGTTCAATAACTTCGAATTAAGTGACCTTTAAGCAGCATGTGCATTGTCATGTATAATGAGATTCTGACTTTCGTTCATCTGGTCAGATTGTTGTCCCTGGTGAGTTTGAACAGCCTACATGTTTTCTAAATGCAAAACCACAAATTTTCACTTCCTAATAAAACTTCACTTAAGCCACCATAAACAATGACGTGTGGAATTAAAGGGAAACGCTAAAACAGCAAACAGTTCACTGCAGAACAACGATTGAGGGCGATGGGTTAGACGAGGTTATGCAACAAGTGAACGCCGCCCTATCCAGTGTGGTTTTCGCGACTCGAGTGTCTTGAAAAACGGTTATTCGGATAGTCTGTGGTGATATTTCAGTAAATTGACCCAATTCAATAAACTTGTGTGAACAGAGGAGGAAAAACTCCGCCTGAATTTAGGCAGTGTAAATGTCTTATCCCATGTATCGGATATGGCTTCTGCTTCCCCTGGGAGGATTCCTGTTGCCAGGTGAGTTTGAACAGCTTCCTGAAGGTAGTGCACTGTTTAATTAATATGGCCATTCCTTAACGCAAAAACAATGTAGCAGTTCCTCTGATGAGCGCATTGGACTGTTAGCCTAACTGTGGAAGCCTGTTCTCGTTCTCCGGTCCAGATGTGCGTCCCACTTGGTTAAAACTGTCCCCCATAGCGCAACGCTCGGTTTTTATGGTTAGAATAAGGTCAGGTTCAGGGGATAAGTAGATTAACAAAGTGTAGGGACTTTACTTTAATGTACTCAAACATACATGTAATCATTAACCCACAGCGGTTGTTTGCTGTACTGAAGTACACTGAAGTGAAGCTATGAAGAAAATTGGAAAATCAGTTCGTGCTATCTCAAGCAGAGATAAGAAAGAAAGAGAAGAGAAGCAGACAAATTCACATTTCAGTGCTCTGTTCACAGCTCTGCTCTTGTCTGGATGGTTTAATGAATTGCTCTGAAATGAGAAACTTAGTAGCCTGGTCAGTGTGACTCTTGAACATGTCCTGTGAATGAGTCAGTCAGTGGAGGTATACAGTTAATTATTAATGAGCATTCTTTCTTATTTGGTTGTCTCTGTCACAGGGGCGCGCCATGTCAGTGCAATAGAGATTTACACTCCACGTGAGGTGGAGGCGGTCAACGGGACAGATGTGAAACTGAAGTGCACTTTCAGTTCCACTCATCCAGTGTCGCTTCAGTCCGTCATAGTGTCCTGGAACTTCCGCCCTATTGATTCAGGAGCTGATGAGTCGGTAAACTGTTTACTTTAGTAAAAAAAAAAAGACTTAAAGTATTTTTATTGTTTTAATGTCATTGTTAATGAAATCCAGTCATTTTTATAAGGCTAGTGGTCTCTTCTGTTTTTGATGGCTGGCTCTGATACACATGCAAAATTCAAACAGCCCATAGAAAAAAAAAAGCATAGCACTGCACATGTCATATCCAGAAGAGAAGAGTCAGTGGCTGGTTTTCTTACTGCCAGTGGCGACACATACTGTCCTGTACATTACTTTCTTATTTATATTCAAGATAAGTTGCAAGTCTCTGTGAATATGACTCTTGTTGGCTTTTAAACATGTATGCTGTGCCTATTAGTTGAACCTGTGACAGTTCAGAGGGTCATTTTTGTGTTTCTTAGGAAATATTCTTCATAATTTTACAGAGATTCCTTGCATGAGTATGGCAAAATGTTGTGTTAATGTAGATCTGGGGCAGTTTCAGCCATTTAATGTCTGAAGTTGCTACAGCAGCTTGTTACTAGTGTGTTAATTTGTTTGGCATTGTATAACAGTTTTTTTTTTCTGGATTGTGTGTGGTTTTTTTGTGTCAGGTGTTTTACTACCAAGAGGTGCCATTCCCTCCTTCAGCAGGGCGTTTTCAAGGCCATGCAGTGTGGTCAGGAGATATTATGAAACAGGACAGTTCCATCACTCTGCAGCAGGTGCAGCCAAACTTTAATGGTACCTACGTCTGCCAGGTGCGCAACCGACCAGATGTGCATGGCAGCAATGGAGAGATCATCCTCAGAGTTGTCAACAAAGGTTAGACTGGTAGTGTTGCATGAGTAGAAGACTCAGTACTTTTTGGGAAGATTGAAAGTCATGTACTAGAAAAAAGAAAGAAAATTAATTAAAATGGTGAAGGACCTTTTATATTACTTTATTTCCTATCAACTGCCATCCATCAGTGTTTCTAATGTATATTCAGAATATAGTGCCTTATTGGTCCCAGTAGTACAATTCTGCTGCATTACTCTGGCCTCAGAGGTCAGTTCTGTTTTGTGCTCTGCTGCTGCTTTCTCCCACTTTTGTCACTGATTTTGGGTCTCACTGCCTCTAGTTTCTCTCTCTGAGATTGGCATCCTGGCTGCCACAGTTGGAGGGGCCTGTGGTGTAGTCCTGATCCTCCTTGCTATATTTGTGGCAGTGAGGGTGTGCAAAAGAAAGCGAATGGAAAACAGCATAGAGATGCATCCATCGAAAGGGTTGAAGGACCACAATGTGCTGTGAGGGCCAGAGAGCAGGAGTTCTGTTGCTTCTGTGGACTTGTATGGAGTCTGAATGACTGTGGTCCAGTCTGCTGGAAGAGACAAATGGAAGTTGAGGGTGAGAAGGCATCTTCTTTTTACATTTGCTCCACCAGTGTGAACCTCTCAGCTATTATTGTAGTTCAGTTGCTTCAGTATTAGAGATATACAGTACAATGCTGCCAAATTGTTATTCACTTTTATGTTTTTTTTACCAAAAATTGCTGTTGATTGCATTAACTGAATTTTATCAGTTTTTAAATAGTAGATGATGAGATGTAAATATGATTTGTTTTTCTAAGTGTGGATCATTAACCTCTGTTCACAACAGCAGTGCTGACTGCACCAACTCAGCTGCTGTTCATTATTCTCTCTTGATTTCATCATATAACTATAATGTGAGCAATTAAATGTTTTTAAGGAATTATTTTTAAATTGTTTGTTATTCTGTTGTGTTTTATAGAATTGTATTCAGACTGAATCATCATCAGTTGAATCAATGTTTTTATCCCTAGAGTACAGTAGCACTTCATATGTGATACTGCTGCACTTAGTAGAGTCAGATTCTCTCTATTTTTTTAAAGAGCAGAGCCAATTTAATGTGACACTACTAACACCATCTCAGTGCAGATATCTATCTGTATTGTGCACATATCAAACTGGTTCTCCTGTTCACTCTCTGTAAAGCACCAGCTGAGAGTACTCAAAGCAACTGTTGTAATGTGTCCCTACACAGGGTTTAGAAAGCTGTCTGAAAAGAAATGAGACAATAGGTGCGGTCAATACATTTTTGCTGCCAGAAAGTTCAACACAAAATTTGAATGTTGGATTAATTAAGTGTTTACTGCATGGCAACACTGCATAAGTGATTTTGTATAAAATAAAGTATAAAATAAAAACAAGACTTAAAAACCACTGAGCCCTGTTCACCACACCACAGTCATGTTGTCACTTGTATCTCTGTTTTGCAACTCTGGAAAAAAGCACTGTTTAGAACCGATTTTTAAGTATCATGAAATCTGTATTTTGATAAAAAATGTTCAGTGTGTGGGAATAAATCAGGCCTTGAGGTGAGCAGATGGGCGAGGGATTGTGAAATGCCAGCCACTCCTGTGTGGCATACATGATAGTAACCTTATTGTTCACTTACACTTCCTGGGCCTGAAACAGCTGAGAAAAAGCTCACACTTGACTTTATTGTCAAATCTAGAAGTACAAAAAAATCAATTTTAACAAATCAGTTGTGCCATGAAATTAGTTGATTTCTATTGCCATGTTGAAATAATTCCAGGGGGACTTTTTTTTTTTTTTTTTTTTTTTTTTAACTTGTGTTAAATTTTTAAAGGCTGTTTAACACCTGAATGGCTGTGAACACTACAAGCATTTCTGTTAAATCATCCACTGACTGAGTGTTTCAGGACAGTGATTGTAGCATAAAAACAACAAGAGATGAATATGATACGTCGCTCCAGGTAGTATCATGAACTCTGCTTTTTCAGTCCATGCTTTCATATCTGTCCTTTTAAGAAACATGAAACAAAGCTTACTTAGGGTGGAGAGGGACTCTAAAGCCAACCTGGGACATGTGGGAACCTGTCTGTGACAACACGTCTTATAAACCACTAGCTTCTCCACAGTGACAGTTTTTCTGGATTGTGCTACTTAGGAAAACCTGTCCTGTTCAACAGGTTTTTTCTTTGACTGGACTGAGGACTGTTAACAGATGAAATTCCTAGGAACAGATCATTTTAACTTGTTTATTTTTCTTAGCAAGAGAAAGGAACGCCTAGTGACAGGCCACAGCCAAACACTTGTTTACTGATGGTCTCTTCCTATTTACTATCATAAATAACTACTGTATCACAAAAATGGGCCTGGATTTACTCGGCTTAATGTGAGTGCACACCATGGTCTGCACTGTAGTGAATCTGTCACCTGTTATTCTGCCTTATTTTTTTCTTATTTGCATTTCATTTCTGGAGTTGTGTAACTAATTTTGTACTCAAGTACTTGCAATGTGCTTGAGCATTTCCATTTGCTGCTACGTTCTAATGCTACTCCACTACATTTAACTGACAATAGTAAGAGTTACTTTTCAGGTTAAGACAACAATTTAGAACATCGTAAACTTACAGATTAAACCAGTTGTATACCTGTTTAGCTTGTTATCCCTGGTGTTAGTTAGGGCCCCTTTCAGATGTCTGTTGTTAGTACTTCCTCTGAGAAGATTTAGTTTGAGGTTTAAGAGGTAAAATGATCCATCATTTAACCTAAAAACAAAGGTAGGGAGAAGTTAAATGAATACAAATTTGTGCTCAAAAACTTTTTATTCCTCTCTGCCTCATTAATTATCTTACAACTCTCTGCAGGGGCCCAGTGCAGACTGGGGGTTGGGAACCACTGAACTAAAGGGCTAAACAATCTAAATGTATATAAAACGCTAACTTCTGGAAAATGCTACCTAACTATTAAATGCAACAGTATATACTATAAATCTAATTATATCATAAATACATTTTATAAGCCACTGGCATTTTTATGTGGTACTTTTACTTTGGATGTTATACAAACACTTTTCTGATAATATGACTACTTCTGTTAAAGAAAGGTTTTACTTGTAATGGAGCGTTTTCACAGTGTTGTACTGGTACCTTTACCTATAAGTAAAAGATCTGAACACATTGAATTTCTGTTGTTACTTAATGCTCATTAAATGTAGAGTTGTGTTTCCTTATCTCCTTTATTTGCAGCAGCACACATTTTGCTGCAGTAAGAACAAATGACACCTACTGTACTTGTATGTGCTTTTCAAGCTGAGGGAGCACCTACATAGCTGCTATGAGCAGTAATATGGGACACATCAATGAATATCTGTCCACACAATGGGGTTATGTTTGTGTGAGTATGATTGTCTGTGGACATACTGTCTGGGTAGTTATGTCGTGCTGCACAGGTCTGCAGCAGCAGCCTGTCTATCTGCAGCAAAATGCTGCTGTTTTTTTTTTCTTCTTATTGCAGTTCTGGAAGAGTTCCCACCACTGCTGCATTGACACTCCAGTGGAGGGGTCTGGAGAGGAGAGCGATGAGCCTGCAGCCCGGCCATATTATCTGTCACTTAGACCTCTGCACCCATGAAACAAAGCTCCACTCTACCTACTGTCACCTAGCACCACACCTCACCTCTGTGGAGCCCTGAACCAGGTTAGGTTAGTGGTAATTGCTAGTAAATGTTTGTAATTTGATTCCCCCCGACCTTGCAGGTAACAACTGAAATCAATCTCGTTTTGTTTCATCCGACACAGTGGATATATTTGTACTCATTCAGGATCCCCTGATTTTTTTTTGGTGCTGTGTGTACTCAGTTTTGTCTAGTTAATTGTATCAGTTCTACTGAATCTAGCATATATACAGTAGCAATAAATAAAATAATAATGATTCAACAATTTTACAGCTGATATTAGAATGACACTAATTTCACAAGACAGTGTTTTAATCTTTGCATGAAATCTGCCACTGTCAAAATGAATGTGCAGTTGTCCCTGTGTCCTCTGCCTGTGTAACTACCTTGACTCCCAAGTCACATCCTTGTTAGCACTCTCCTTTATTTCGCATTTTACCAACTGCTTTTTTCTAAGTGATATCCATTCCATTAAGCCATTATGACTTTATTTTATATTTCTGATAATGGATGGAGTTTGACAGACGTAGTGTCAAGTACATTAATACACTATTAGACAAGTCTTAAACTGACTAATCATATCTGGAAACGCTGAGCTAAGCACTTCCTCCATCATGTCCTGCAGTGAGTAGTGCAGACACAAGGCATTGGTCAGCTGTTGTGGACTGATATCATGTTACCGTAGACTGTATATGAAGATATTTATATATAGTCTATTGTTTATGTCTGTGAAAAATGATTCTGTTTCATTTCATCATGCACTTGTATTACAGGATCATGAGAGAGAAATGAATGGCTCCTGCAATGGGAGCACACACACACATCACCACTGGCTCCGGCTGGTGATTGTCCTGAGCCAGGGGAATATGAGTCCTAGCCTTTCTGGAAACAGTAGAGGAGAGAAAAGCAAATGTGTGTCAGTCTGGGGTTAGAACAAGTGTGAGCAAGAGGAAAGAGAAAAGGACGGACAGATTGTCATTGCAAATAAAACCTTTGACATTTTAAACTGTGTTAGTGTGTAGCTACTAGATTACCCACTGCACTGTCTTCCCTTGCCACTTGAATTTGGCTCTTTATGAATGGGGCATCTTGATATGGGGCTGAGGGTCCAACCTGACCCTGTGGCTGTGTTACACAGTATTGTTCTCAACCTGCACTGCAGAGCCTCTCTCTGATCTTTACCAACACTTGAACTAAATCTCTGAGTCTGCATACATGGCTCGAGTTAAGTGATGGGGAGGAGGAAGAGGGAGAGGAGAGGTGGGAGAAACAGAGAGAGGAGGAGTGAATGGAGGTGATTGAGGAAAGAAAGAGGGATATGGAGGAAGGTGAGGGAGGAGGGGGATGAGGCGAGAGATGGAGGTGGAATGCAGCCAAGGGAGAGGACAGGAAAAAGTTGTGAAATAGCCAGAGGGACGGGGAGGGAGAACATTCAGCTTCTGAGGAGGAATGAGAGCAGTGGCATTTTCGTCCTGTACGCCTGTCTCTGCATTTCTGCCCGTCTTGTCTCCCATCTCACTGCAATGTGGCTGTCTCTGCAGTGAGAGTGCCGGCTGGTAGATTCTCCTTGGATGAACTCCGACAGTGCACAGAGAACATTTGCTGTCCACACAGACTCAGCTGTGCAAGCAGCCTCCCTGCCTCTTAAGTGCGCACTGGCTGTAAGAGAAGGTAGGCAAGACAAAACCTTAACTGTACTTATCAAGCTAGGGTTCATCTTGCAGCCTTATACACATTCAGGCAAAGAGTTACAGTATGTGAAGACATGCATGCAGGAAACGCACACTAAAAAGTTATTCTTCTGCTGTCTGTCTTTATAGTGACTCAGTTTCCTGTTTTAAGATTTTTTGAGTAACTATTTTCTTTTTCCCTTGTCTGTTTTTCTTTCTCCTGTCTCCTTCTCTGCCCTCTGCATAACCTACAGTCTGTTCCACAGAGGAGTAGGCTCTCTACACCCAGGACTACTGTAGGGCGCAACACTGGAACGCGGATCCAGACACAGAGACAACTTCCAGATTTAATCTAGTATACCAAAGAGACCCAGGTGTGCTAAGGGATATTCTGCTAGTTATCCTGATCCAGGGCTGGAACCTGCAGCGCTATTTGTTTTGGAGCAGATCTGGCTGCCATGGAGGTCCAGTGGGTTGGGGTTAAACCCTTGAGGCTGGGCCCTCCATTCACGGCCGTCGGTCTGTTCTTCCTTATGCTGCTTGGTAATGTCTATTTCTCATATTAATGTACAATATGCCACCTCCCTTTGTTTTCTCAGTGGTGATTATGCCATGGGTGAACAGTGCCTCCTCATCTCTGTTTTTTGAAATCTTCCTTTTTTTCCTCATTTATTTTCAATATGCCAGAAGCATGTGGCTATTATTAGTTAGTATTTATGTTATGCAGAGGAATAATGCTGTGGCTTTTGCAGATCTGACACTAACCTTCGCCTGCCTCTGACCTAGGTACAGTAGGCTTTAGTGTTAGTGTATTCGTTGAATGTGGTCTTACACTAGGCTATAGCAAAATGTGCTGTTGGTTCTGCCTGGCAATACAGAAAGGACAGACGTCATGGAAATCAGGTAGTATTTAGGATAAGGTCTGTGGCTTTTAGATTTCATTTGATGTTCTTCTAATCCAACAGTTTGGTGTTGTCTGTTGGTTTGGATTGGGAGTGTATTTCCATAAAATGAAATGTCAGCAGAATAAAGTGACCCTGTGAATGAAAAGCTGTGTCGGACTGTAGGCACTCTAGGCCCTGCTGGTCACAGCATATTGTGCTGGACTGGACGTGTATCAGCAGCAAGGAAGAAAGAAGATATTGATAGATATTGATAGTCTTCTGGCATTGACTATACAGTAACAGGACAGTACAGTAGGTATCTGGATGTGATGCTGTTGTAGCTAAATTCATATGCAGGTCTGAGACTGACAGTGCTGATAGCCTCTTTTTATGTGAGTAACTGTGTGGTGGATATACAGTACAGTAAAGGACATGAACAGTGGATTATGTACATTTTAGATGACACCCAGCCAGATAGCTCAAATCAAAGCTACAGTATGTAACTTTTTACATTTGTGTTGTAGAAATATGCTCTAAAACGTGTCTTAATGTGGAGAGGTGCTGCCAAAACCTCCTGTGACCCAGTCTATCATAGGGCTGGCATGTAGACAGACAACCACACACACTCACGCTCACTCCTAAGGGCAATTTATAATTGCCAATCAACCTAAGCTGCATGTCTTTGGACTGTGGGAGGAAGACAGAATACCGAGAGAACCCACTGGGAGAACATGCAAACCCCTGGCAGAAAGGCCTCAAACCCGAATCCTTCTTGCTGTGAGGCGACGGTGCTAACCGCTGTTCCGCCCTCTCATCAGTCAGAACTTCAGAATTATTTCTGCTTGATCAGTGAGTTTGATTGCATTTTCCTTTCTTGTAATTCCATAATGAGAGCTACCTGAAGAGCTGGGCAAAGCAGAGTGTAACAGATCACAGTAGTGGAGCGGGGAGATAGAGCGCTGGGTGGAGCAGAGTGGGTTGATTTGGAATTTCATGCTAATGCTACCTTGTTACATACTGTAGCTTTAAGTGTTTCCTATCATTTCTAAAGAAATACACACAAAGTATTCCTTTAGAATCCAGATTCAGATTTAAATTTATTTCAAATAAATTTAAAATATCTATTTCTCCCTGATGATAATAATAACTTCTCGACTTCACATTGTGATGCATTGCACACATTAACTGACTTTTCGGTAGCATTTAACATTTATTTTGTGATTTTATTTTGCAATACTAGAGTGGCTATTTCTTGTTCGCAGGTGTTGTCTTTATTTAGAATGAACACAAAATATTTTGTCCACTGATAACACAAACTGCACAGTAGACCTTATCAGCAGATGCACGCGGCCAAGGAGCAGACAGAGATGAATCAGCAGCTGAAAAACAGCTACTGTAAGCATCATCATTATATTCTGAAAAAAGAAAAGCCCATCATATTTGTTTTTCACTGTATGATGCACTATGAGGTGGTTATGAGGGTACTTCATTGCACATTATGCTTTTTAATCTGTGAATTAAACTTTTCAGGCTGAGAACAGACTGAGTAGTAGTGATCTTATGTCTCTGCAGTCTGGCCTCCAGCGTAGACTGTTCATGTTCAAAACACTGATTGGACAGTCGTGGCAAAGCACCCAAACTTATAGACTGAATTTTCTTCCATGTTTACGATACATATACAGTTCTCATGGAAAATATACAGTGTCTCCTCTCACATCTTGACATCTGCTGAATTAGATCTGTTCTGATCCCTTAATGTAAAATTCCAGGCTTAAAATCTCAGAGAAATCCTACCTATTGCCAAGATTACTTTGGCATTTCATAATCGCTGGTGTTTTTGGTCATTTGGCCATATTTTAACAAATAATGTGTAATGTTTAAATTTGTGTATCACTAAACTGAAGTTGACATATATAGGCTAGAAACTGGAGCACCACTGTTCTACTTTTATCTGAATCACCAAGACTCTCCAAACAAGCCTTTTAAAGACAACATACTGTAGATACGAAATCTAAATGACTAAATGGATACCGATTTAAGGGAGAGCAAAGCTTGTCAGAGACACTTAACACAGAGAAGGATGAGGTTCTTGAAAGAAAAACAGATATTTTATCATTGCATTTCTACTCTCTATGTTCTTGGTCTCTTGTCAGTAAAGCAGCTGCTCGCTTGTCTCTTGTCTTTTATTGCTGATTTTGCAAGCTCACTGTGCTGCATTGGACCAGCTGAGGAAAAGGCTGGAGAGAATGAGTTTGCAAGAGTGAGATGAGAATGAATCAATAACATTCCCACACAGTATGCCCTCTGTCACTGTGTTTTGCTGCCTCTGCTGTTCCTAACAGTATTATGCCTAGTTGCTGCAATGATGCTTGTCAGACCTTGACCTTGAGCATGCTATGAACAACATGTAACACAGTGTGCAAAAAAACAGAGGGCAGCATCACAGGAAAGCTAGAAAAGTGCAGAAAATGTTACAGCGGCTCCTGCAAACATTGATTCTATTCAGGTACATGATTGAAGTGTTTCTGTTTTCTGGGTATACCTTGGCATCTGGGTACTAATGTAGTTTTGCAGAGGGTCTTGTCAGCATGCAGTGTACCCCTCAAACACTAGATGGAAGCACAAGGCACTACACATGGTGCTGTAGACCTACAGTAGAGTTTGTCCTTGACCTGCTGTAATTATACACTGTAGGTGTTGGGTGTTAGCACCTAAATGAGATGGTGGAATACCTGCAAAGTCTAAAGTTAATGTAGAAAAATGAATAGTTTTCCTGACCCATCTTGATTGGTGGAAATAGGATTTAACCACTGTGATCTCCTGATGCTGTGGCCTCTCGTGTACATGTACAGTTTTAACAAGTTGCAGCAGATTTCCTCCTCACTCATTTCCACTAATGGCACAGCAATGACTTTGATTCTTAACAATATGAGGATGCATTTCTAATCAGGCTGGCATCTCTACACTCTTTTATTGAGGAAAATGGTTCAATAAATGCTTTAAGTGTAGGTGATTTTAATTCTGACTTGTCAGATAGTAATTTTATGCCTAGACAGCATTGAGTTGAAGCCTGCCTCTTCACTGATCACCAGTGTTCTGACTGTTTGCGCTACCCACTTCTATCAGACTTCTCTGATGAACTAAGCCTTATTTCAGTCTTTTCTAGTTGTGTTTTCTAGTCCCTTTTCTCTTCAGGTGTTTGGTGTGCTCAGGCCCTAGAGATGTTTGTGGGGAAGGTTCCTTTCCTGGAGGCACTGAATGGCAGCACAGTTGTACTGCCATGCTCATACTCCAGCTGTATCGGCATCGAGAACCTTTACTTCAACTGGCAGTTCAATGACAATGGCACCATGAAGAAGGTACAGCCCTTTTGTCTGACAGAAAGATTTACATTATATTCAGGTCTTGGTACCTTGTTAAGTGGTAGATTTGGATGATTGACAGCTTGCTGGTCCATTCAGGTGTGTGAGTCAACGATAAAATCAGAGGGTGTGGAGCCAAATGTAAAAATATTTCGAGAAAGGGTTGAGTTTGTTGGAAAGAACAACAATGTCTCCATCCTACTGTGGAACATCACCTTTGACGATGGAGGCCAGTACACTTGTTTTGGACGCAACCCAAAAGAGAAAGATAGAAACCACAGTGCCATCTTCAGTCTCATTGTGGTGGACAAGTGTGAGTAGCTAGACTATATACTGGTAATGTGATCTAATATGTAATGAGGGGGTCAAATTAATTTTTACTTCATTATGCATATAAATAGGGTGTTAGGCATGTGTTAGTGTTGTGCAATGGCATTTATATTAGTTATTAATTGTAAATGCAGAAGACATTTTCAAAACCTACCCAGTTCATACTAAACCAGTCCAAAGGAAGTGTCACATCACATCATGCAAGCACTTTAAAACTAAATAGGTCTACAAGGCCCAAAATACTATGAGATGAGTTCCTAATCATTTTGTGTATATTTTACATTTATATTTTTGTGTAGCATACATTAAGATATAGCTGAATCCACACAGCTCTAATCTCATATCGAAATACCAACTTGTGTCGCGTTATAAGATACTGTAACAATGAAAAGTACAACTAGGGCTCCCTCACTACAAAGCACTGTGTTGCATAAGTGTTAACTTTAAAATAAACTCTTTATATATAGATGTTTTCCATCCTCATTCCTGTGGTCTTTTGCTAATGCCTGCAGTGAGGGAGGTGGACAACACACTGACCATCATCATAGCCTCAGCTGTGGGTGGAGCCATTGCATTGTTGATGGGCTTCATGTTGCTCAAGAACTTCAGTCTCTATGTTCTTTCCAAGCTTGAGAAGAAAAAGTGCGTCTTCATGGCTACTTAGATATTTAGCAGCATTTCACACTGTTTTTTATCAGAGCACATTGTTGGAAAGATCATATACTATACATCCTGAGTGGTTTTTAAATAGTGCAAGCTTGAAACTTTTCTTTGAGCTACTGTGTGTCTGCAGTCCTGAC